TAATCTTTGGGAAAAAAAAGTATTAAGGGCTCAATAATAAGATTATATAAATAAAATGGATTAAAAAACAATTCAGAAAGGCATCATTAAGTATTTACTGAGAAAATTAGTAAAGAGATTACCCACAGCGTGATCTTAAAAAAAAAAAAAAATGTATGTTATTTTCCACAACTGCTACAGAACCAAACTGCAAAAATACCTTGTTTCACAAAAGCCAATTGGTAGTGAATTTTGTGAACATCAGCAGAGCAATCAGGTTCGTTCATGAATGCACAGATACAGAGAAATGGGGGGAACTGACTATCCTGGAGTAGTGATGGCTGCTGTCAGAGCCATGGAGCTCACCCAAGGCATGCCAAAACTGAGAAAAGACAAATTTAGGGTAAAGAATGCATGGTGGTAGACATATGTTGAGAAGATCCAAACCACCTTCCATTTCCAGAATCTGAGCAGGAGAATTCTTTACCTTGGGCAACTGTAGAAACAAAAGGTATAAGTCTAAAAAATTCCTAGTTAGCAGGTAAATGGCAAAAAAATGGGGGATCTTGCCAACATAGAAGGGAACAAAAAGAAACATAAGGTCTAGATTTGAAGGTAATCCACAGTCATAAATTTTTTTTGAAGATTTGTTCAATATCAACAAGGAGAACCTTGAGACTATGTTCCTGCACAGAGTCTAAGTGCAATTCAGCCTGGGGAAGGCGTGCGGTAGAAGAACGTAAAAGAGAAGATAGGCCATTAAAAAAAAAGAGGGCTCAGAAAGGATGTAGGAACTGAAACTGCTGCCACTGAAATTTCTAAATATTGCTGGAAGGCATGAAAACTTCAGATGACTTTCTCCAGGAAAAGAAGGTATCATTTACAAGTAGTGATCATTTTTTCTATAGAATATAGGCAGTTGGTATTTCCAACAAACTTTTGATAAAATATTTTTCTGTTACTGCATCATAAGGTTACAAGCAGTGCTTCTAAAATAGTGGATGTGGAATCCTAAGCATGAACCTTTCTGATTTCTCTTTCTCTCCCTTCCTCCCTCCCCGCCTCTGTCTCTGTCTCTGTCTGTCTCTCTCTCTCTCTCTCTCTCTCTCTCTCTCTCTCTCTCTCTCTCTCTCTCTTTTATGGCTAACACATATTGGGTTATGAGAACACTGGTGGTTTGTTTTGTTTGTTTTCCTCAGTATTATTGTAGGGGAAAAAAAAATCATACTAAGATTGCAAACAGCTGCAACAACCACATTTGGCTGATATTTTGTGCAGTGTGTATCTAATAAATTTTGGAATCATGGGAAGTTACTGTAACACTTCATGGGTCTTGACAGTTTTCTATTTTCTTTTTAGGTGGTTGCAAAGGAAAGATGCCATGAAATTACTAAGGACCCAAGGTCTAAGAAGAAAATTAAAAGGCATTTCCTTGGAACATTCTGGCTATAGAAACTGAAACTTATTCAGAGACATAAAAAGAAAACCTAAATCAACAGGCAAAAGATGTCAGAAATTGGTTTATTAACAGAAAACAACTGCTCAGGTGTTGAAAGGAAATAACGGAAATTCTGAAAGGAAAAGGACCAACTTTAAAGCAAGGTCCTCATCTTGAAATCAAGACAGGAACTGAAGAAAAGGGAAAGGAAAGAGCAGAAATAAATTTTTATATAGCAATATAATTGGCCATCCATAAAGTCGGGAAGGAATGGGACCAACTCTGAACCAAATGAAGTTTTGACAACTCATTTGAATCTATGTGAAAATTTCCAATGGATGTAGATGCAGAAGGTAAATGGCAAAACATTGCAAGAGAAAGAATTGTTGGTGCTTAAACTGATTAGCCTCTTATAGCTTATTGTCAGGCCTAGTGGGAGATTTAGGGTTGGGGTAATCCATCTGAAGGGGCCACAACACTCCTAAAAGCAGACAAAAAGCCCTGAGCTCACTAGGGCTTTCACAAAGGAATCAGGGCCAAATTCCAAGGACTACATTTTCCTTGCACATATCTTCATCAGAGACTTAACTGGAGTGGATTCAGGACAGGAGATACTATGACCATCAGGGATATCTTCAAGTTCATTCATTCATACAATAAGTTTAGATTGAGCATGGTATTAAAAATTGTTTAATTGTTAAAATGTTGGGTGTATAGAAGCAAAAAAAAAAGGGGGGGGGGCAGACAAAAACCCTGCTCTTGTGGAGCTTACTTACTGAAGGAAAGAAAAAACAGAGTCAGAGCCAACATGGTTTTAGGTCTTATTGGGTAAAATGAAGAAGAAAAAGGTTAAAGGTCAGAGAACAAGGGAGGCAGGCACTGGGGTAGTTTTTATAGTAGGGAAGAATTTCTGAATTATAGTATAGAGAAATTTCTGAACATATTAGGAGGGATTTCTGAAGAGGACATATGAATGGAGACCAGCATGAATTCATGGCATAATACAGAGGAGGGATGTTTTAAGCAGTGAGGAAAACAAGTACAAATACTCCGAGACAGGATTCAGCTTGATGGCAGGCGAGGCCAGACCACTCAGGCTTTGACAGAAGGGTTAGGGAATCTGGATTTTATTTTACGTGCACTGGAAAAATTGGAGGGCTTTGAGCAGAGGAATGGTGTGATCTAATTTACTTTAAAAGGGCCACTTGGGTAGTGATTGTGGGATAAGAGTAGAAACAGAAGGAATATATAGGAGAGTTCTGCGAATATCCAGGTCAGTGATGGTAGTGACGTGGTCTTGGGTGGTAAGTTATGGAAGTGAAGAGAAATAATCAAATGAATTCTGAAGGTAAAGTGAACAGAACTTGTTACAAATAGATGTAATACATGAGAAAAAAACAGACACCTAGGATGGTTTCCAGGTTTGGGGCCTGAGAAACAAAATGAATAATGGTGTCCTTTAACGTCTCTTATTATTCTCTTGTGAAAAATTTAACTATGCTAGTATATCCATTCTGTAAGATAGGTTGCCAATTTCTTAAAAAGAAAAATTAAACATATACTTACCATATATCCCAGCAATCACATTTCTGGGTATTTATCTCAGAGAACCGAGAACTTATGTCCAAACAAAAAATCGTATATGAATGTTCATAGCTGCTTCATTTATAATAGCCCAAAACTAGAAACAACCAAAACGTCCTTCCATAGAAGAATGGTTAAACAGCAGTATATCAAATCATGAAATAGAACTCAGAAATAAAAAGGAACAAACCATTGATATACTCAACAACTTAGACGGATCTCAAGGGGATTATGCTGAGTAGAAAAAGCCAATTTCAAAAGGTCACATTTTGTATGAGTCCATTTATAGAATAATGTTCTCAAAAAAACAAAAAATTGCAGAGATGAATAGAGCGATAGTTGCCAGAGAGTTAGAGATGCTTGGAGGAAAGGATGGGTTTGACTATAGAGCGGTAACATGAGAGACATATTTGTGGTAATGGGACAATTCTGTATCTTGATTTCAGTGGTAGTTACAGGAATCTATCTACACATGACAGAATACCACGTTGTACCAATGTCAGTGTTGGTCTTGTTCTAGAGTTTTATAAGATGCAACTATGGGAGGAAACCAGGTGAAGGACACAAAGGTCCTCTCTTTACTATGTTTGCAACTTCCAGTGAATCTGTAATTACTTGAAAATAGACTTTTTTAAAAAAATCGAATTATGCCCAAGTGTAAGGCAAAATGCATTATATAAATACTAAAAGTAGTATAGCAATAAATATTACATCTGACAAAATGTCATCTTCTGAACTTATAAAGTACTTTTTTGCTAATACATCTTACCATTTTGGTGTGTAGGCAACAGATTAATTAATCATCAGGATCTCTTTGTATGTAAGAACATTTTTCTTCTAAAAGACTCTGGTATAAACAGCATTTGGAATTCTCACTCTGTCTGTTACCTTTAACCAGCAAATAGAACCTGTGAGTTCTTGTTTCTGTACCTGTGCAAAGGAGTATAGAGGTACAGAAGCTAAGCAACTGCTAACACTGGTGTTCCAATAGCTTTCAGACATTCTAAACTCTGAAAACTACTTTGCCTAAACCCAAGATATTGACCCATTATGGGCCAGCTGATACTCTAACATCTTTCCCATCAGTGTCCAAATATAAACCTCTGCAATTTGAAACCTTAACAAAGAGGGCTTAGACCAAAAACCAATGACCATGATCCAAAGGCTTAACAGCTGATAATAACACTAATCACACCTCCAGGTCCATGATCTTAAGGTTACTTTAGGTATCAGAACTAGGTTAGGATAAATCACCTAATTTGGAGGTATGGACGGTGGTCAAGTCTTCCTAAGATCTTTTACAACAGCTTCTTTGGCATTTCCTTAGTGTTCTGGTCTTCTGATGTCATCCAGTCTCAGTCTGAGTGTAGAACTCGAGGGTCTTTGGGTCCGTTAGAGAGCATTTTACTCCCAAGAACACCTTCAAGGCATTTAGTACTCAGGTATCCATGTTAAATCCTAGACACCCTTGTCCTTGCTGAAAAGATTTTACTATATTTACTAATACTTATATTCTTCCAAATAGGTATATATCTAACGTAGAGTGTCTATAATGGAGATTAGAGTGATAGACCTTTTTTACTAGTCTTAATTGTAAAAACCTGCATAGATCTGTATCCTGAAATCAATTTTAATTCAGGCATTCAACTATTAGGTAAAATATTTTTTAAACTTGGTATCTCACTACAGATTATATCTGCTGTTCTGGAATTCAATGAACATTGTGAACACAATTAAATCAGAGAGTTCCCATCCTGATGTTTATATCAGTCTGTCCACACTGTTTCAAATGTGTTAATACAGTCCAAAAAATAAAATATAATATTTTGCATTTTCATTTTCTAAGGATGAATAAAAATTAAACCAATGCAAAAGATATGGATTAAACACCTTTCTGAAGACAAAATAGTTTCATTTTAATCCTGCCAGAGCTTGGAGCCTGGAAAACTGCCAACAACAATGATTTACATAAATAAAAAAATAAAAACAAGATACTTACAGCCAACCATCATCATGGCCACGGAAAACATCTTTTCCACATCTGTGGTAGGAGCTATGTTTCCAAATCCTATGGTTGTAAGGCTTGTCATGGTAAAGTAGAGAGAGGACACATACAGTGAATCCTTGCTGGGTCCTCCTTCCCATATTCCTGCACTGGCATTGTATCGATATGGAGTCCCAATGCTCAAGGCCAGCTGGTAGAGCCAACTGTCTATTTGGATGGTGTTCGTGACTTCATCGATGACTTCATAGTCCCCAATGCTGTACCATATGCAGGCCAGCCAGTGGGCAACTAGTCCAAACACACATACCAGAAGCACAAGGACCGCTGCTCCATATTCTAGGTAATGGTCCAATTTCCTAGCAACGCGGCCCAGTCGCAAGAGACGCACCACTTTTAAAGAACTGAAGAGACTGCTGATTCCCTGAATCAAAGACAAGAAATGACAAAACATCTTCAGAAAAGAAAAAGTTGAGGGAACAGTACAATGGCTTACCTTCATGAACTTGATCCCCCATTTATATACTAAGAACATACATATAATACAGTTCTGACTTTGTCAACAAAAAAAGCTGAAATTATAAAGAAAATTTTTAATGTAGGTTCCTCCCCACTTAGAAATAATAAATTTGTAAATTATTATGCAAAATGACTTTTCATTAGATAAGGAAGACTGTATTTATTTTTATAAGTACAGTATAAATAGCATAGAGAAAAAACAAAGGAGAAAATTGCTCAAATGCAACATATACAGAGTAGAGAAATATGGTGATGAGTCCAGACCTTTTATTTCTTCTCCTATAAAATATTTCCTCTAAAAGATTTATTTTTATTTCTTACTTTATAATAGCTATGAACAGCAAAACTTCTAAAAAGGAATCCCAACCTTACAGTTAAGCAAACAGGAAATATTTCTGTGCACCACTGGATTCCACTGCCTCCTGCCACAGTCATGATAAGCCCTACATTTATAGAGCTCTAAGAAAGTGAAGAGTGAACTTGAATGGGTACATTACCTACCAAATCTTACCATCCTCTAGAAATAGTCATAGAAAAGAATATCATAAGTAAAAAAAAAAAATCGTATTTTGTTGAGAAGCTTAAAATTCCAAATATTGCATTATCCAAATGGAAATTAGCATATGCTTTCCTTAATATAAAAGTCTCATAGTTACTTTTTTGGAAGCATATAATAAGCCACCTGGGAAGATAAGACAAATGCATCCCTGACACAAGAAGGAAAGACAGAGCAGTGATCTGGGAAGCCCCTCATCTGATCATCACCTCCAAGTCTCACGGATTCCATAACTTCCTTTCTGCTAATTCCATCTTCCAAAAGGAAGACAAAGAATCTAACATAACTTACTCTGATTTAATTCTGACCAACACAGAGGAACTGGTTCGGGTAGCAGAATAGATGTAACATTAGTTAAGACTCCAATTATGACATCATAAAGTTCTTGACAGTTAAGGTAAAAAGGTTAAAAATGCATTTGGTTATACTTTACTCTATATGATTGAAATCTTTCAAAATAAAAGTTTGAGAGAGAGAGAGAGAACAAAGAGAAGTAGTAATAAGAGACCCTGTGGATGTGAAAGAGAAGCAGAAGCATCTTGACAGATTATTTTCTTCTCAACTTTGATATCCTTAAGTCTGGTTCTATGTGAATTCCTACTCTCAAATGTTGTGGCATAAATGCAGCCTTAAAATAAATTCTCATTTGACTTGAACATTTGGGGAGAAAAAAACATGTTATAGTTTAGGCAGATCAAAAGAGTAGCATTAATAAAATTCAGATCAATTGTCATAATTCAATGACATGAGATGTGGAGAGGTAAGATTCAAAAGAGCTTGGAAGCCCTAAAAAAAAAATGAGACCACGTAATCATGAACAAGAAAGACAAAAGTATTTATTGAGAATTTCTATATGCCAGAGTCTGAGTTAAGCCCTGGGGACAGTGGGGTAAATATGTCTTACTTCTGCTCTAAAGAAACCCATAGTCAAAATGCATGAAAAACTCAAACAGGGTTAAGTTAAAAACTAAAACGTGTTGCTGTAGATCTTTTTCTCTAGTTGACTCAAATTTTTAAAGGAACTGTGGTATTTCTGTTTAAATATTGCAAAGAAAGGTCATTTCTACCTGAATTCATTTCTCTAAAAAACAAAAGAAGGAAAAACAAAGAGGAAGCTTCATCTTCATTCAAACTACAAAACAGTCACAACTCTCAACTGGACTGTAAAGAATGAGGGCCTCCTAAAATTAGACCTAAACGGTGGAAGGACACTCTCCCCTGATCTCTGACGTAGGCAGAGTTCTCCAAAAGGAGGTGGTCTACCCTGAGAGGCATCTGCTCTGGAATCCACTTGATCAGAAAGCGTATTTTCTAAAGCCATGTCCAATACTACTTAAGTATTACAAAATATACTACTTAAGTATTACAAAGCATTGTAAACTCTCTCTGCCATGGGTTCTATGACATCACTTTCTCCTTGGTTTTACCCAGCTCCTCTACTGACATTTCTTTCAAAATCATTTTCTCCATGCTTCTATTATGTGTTAGAATTCTCTCATGATTGCCCTCTGCCCTTTCCTGGTTCATTTAATACATACCGATGTTTCAAGTGACTTCTATATATGGATGATTCACAGGTCCAGTTCTTAGCACAAAACTCTCCTCTGAGAATCTGATACAGAAGCCAAATGCCCGCTATACGTTTCCATGTATATGTCCCAAAGGTGTTCAAATGGTAATAGATCCCAAAGGGAATCCTTCTCTTCTCCTGAATCAATTTTCTATTTCCTACATCATAACTACCATGCCCTCAGACCTGTCACAGTTCCTCCCGACCCTGTCACATCCAGCTGATTCTCAAGTCCTGGAGATCTTACCAAAGTGCTCAGGCAAGTGTTTTTGATACATATCTACTTTTAAAATCTCTCAAAAATTTACCCATCTTTCCCATTTCCAAGGCCATGCCTTAGTCATAACTTCATGTTTTTTTCTTATTTGTGTGACAAGGAATAGCCTCTCTAATTAACCACCCTACCTATAGTCTTCCTCCTTTTAATTCGCAGATCACAGTATACAAGCTACCAGCCTGGTGTTTTATAAAACCACATGAATCTAATCATGTCCCTCTCTGATCTAAAATCTTTAATGCCTTAGGATTAAGTACTAACTCTCCACTATGACATCCAAAGCCATTCAGCACCTGGTACCTGCCTAACTAGTCAGCATCTTGCCCACCAATTTCTCCTCGTGCTCTCTACGCTTTTACCATGCTCAGCTATGTGTGGTTTCTAGAGTGTCCATTCTGTTTCATGCCACATTATAGGTTGTCCTCTCGTTTTAAAGGGTCTGTCCCTCCCACACTCTTGGTAGCTAAGGTCTTACTTATAGTTATGACATTCTCTCCCCCACGTGCATTTTTCTGACATCTTCCCCCCACCGTCATCTTCATTATCATACCCTCATCCTTTCTCCAACTATAAGAGATGTCCTTCCTTCATATTATCATAACCCTTTGCACATCTCTATTATAAGAGCTATCATGATTACACTTTACCACAAATCTCTGTTTATATGCATGACATCTTAGGAAATTCTAAACTCCATGAAGAATATATCTAGTGTCAATTATAGAGCTTAGTATGTGGTAATATGTTAGTAGTCAATGCATTCAATAAATAAATGAAAACTATTTTGCAACACAAGCAAAATGTGGATGAGGTGAATTTGGGGGGTTTTAGTTAATAATAAACTCAATGTGGTTTAACAGTAAAATACAGACAACAAAACAGTCAATGTAACTCTGGGTTGCATTAATAAAGCTATGGCATCACGTATGAAAAAAGAAATTCTCCTTTTCTCCACTGACCAGACCACAGCTATGAGAGATACATAAAACACATTCAAACAAGTACTACTAAAAAAGAACTCAAAAATACACTCTGTTGGTCGATGTGGAAGAAAATGAAATTTAAAAAAAAAAAAAGGAGAATGGGGCAGGGTATTATAATTGTGTTCAAATACACAAAGCATTGATGAGGGTTGAGCTCATTCTATATAACCCTAATGTAGGGAGCCTGAATCATAGTTGGAGCTGTACCATATACTTTTATGCAGTAAACCAATCAGAATGCAAGATTATTCATTGCTTCTTGGAAAACAGACAAGGTGATAATATTGAACACTTACTACATACTAAGTACTTTATATGTATTAACTAATTTAAACTTCAAAACAATCCTATGTTGTAGGTATTGTTATTAAAACATAGATCACAATGGTTAAATAATTTGACTAAGCTCATTCAGTTAGTAAGAGGAAGAGCCAAGATTTAAATACAGGTAGTGTGGTTTCAGACCCCTTGCTTCTCACCACTTCATTACCTGACCTCACTCTAAAACTCACTATACCTAGAGCATAATGTATAATTTAACTAAATGCATTAGTACTCACAATGTTAGTTTAAACATGGGTACTCTGTACATGACTGACTAAAGGTGATTAAATACTAGCCAGCCTCTTATCCCCACTCAGGGACAGCAGTGGCCCACAATAGGGATCTGTGGATGCCCTAGAACTCTATTTAGTCTACAATTCTCTAACATGGACCAACTCATTTCATTCTCACAATAGCAGGCCTATTCTCATTGTTCATATGAGGACATTGAATAGCTCAGGTAAAATAACTTGCCCAAAGTTATATAGCTAGGAAGAAATGAAAGCATTAATCAGACCTAGTCCTTTAGATTCTTAGTGAACTTTCCATGACAAACAACTGCAGTGCAGTCTTCCTGTCCTTACGTCCAATAACCGCTGCAATATTAATCTTCCTGAAAGACAGCACTCACATAACCTCTAAGCGCTCATAATAGACAATGTATTAAACACAGTATCTTCTGCAGGCCTTAAAGGTCTTCAATCCCATCTCTGTCTACCCTGCCAAGTCATTTACTACCGTGTCATTGCATAGCAATAGTGCTCCAGTTAAACCAAGTTCCTTTTTGCTCCCAAACATAACCTCAAAGTTTCACCTTTGAATTTGTCCAGCATTCCCTTCATCTGCTTATAATCAGAGTCTGCTATTCGAAATAAATAATACACAAATAAGTGTTTGCTTTCTTTGAAAAGTTCTTTTTTCACTATCTCATTCTCCATTGTTTTGTACCAAAGAGAATTTAATGTAATCACTATAATCAAAACTCAAAGGAAATGACTTGGTTTTAAAATGAAATGAAATACTTAAACTTGAAATAATCCAAATGTCCATCTCCAGTATAATGGATAAATAAATCATAGCACATTCACTCAATGAAATATTACCCAAAAATAAACATGAACAGATGAGAACTATATGCATTAACAAGAATAAATCTAAAAAGCATCATGTTGAGCAAAAGAGACCAGACACAAAG